ACTTGCCGCAGCGCTTCCGTCGCGTGACGACGAGTCCACACGGACCATCGCCCCTCCCCGGTTCCGAACGCGACTAACGGAGCAGACGAAGGGAGAACAGGGTAGCATGAAAAGAGTTCAATCGTCACATCGACTGCACCCCGCCCACACTCCACAGACTGGGGAGGCCACGGCCTCGCCCGCATACACACGGCACCCTTCCGAAACTGGTCGCCTTTCGACGACCGAAACCGTACCTCGACTCTGTCGGCCTCTCCCCTCCGTTCAGGAGGCAACTGGCGAGAACCCAAAAAATACGTCACGTCCCCCCGACGCAATCTATGACAAGAATCCATGGCCAACGAGGACCCAGCGAACATTTCGCATGCCCGCATCAAGAAAAAAAATGACGCACTCAACGCCAGAAACAACACGCGCCCACCCGTGCCCCACTGTGGCACCAGACGCCCCCCTTCCTTCAGCATCGACCACGACACCGGACGTCGCACCCGTTGCTGCGCACCAACACCCGCATGCCCTCGCGCCACCCCTTTGAGCGCNCCATGGCCAACGAGGACACAGCGAACATTTCGCATGCCCGCATCAAGAAAAAAAATGACGCACTCAACGCCAGAAACAACACGCGCCCACCCGTGCCCCACTGTGGCACCAGACGCCCCCCTTCCTTCAGCATCGACCACGACACCCGACGTTGCACCCGTTGCTGCGCACCAACACCCGCATGCCCTCGCGCCACCCCTTTGAGCGCTTGCTTGATCAAAGAATGACATGTATCAACTTCCATCGNATCCATGGCCAACGAGGACCCAGCGAACATTTCGCATGCCCGCATCAAGAAAAAAAATGACGCACTCAACGCCAGAAACAACACGCGCCCACCCGTGCCCCACTGTGGCACCAGACGCCCCCCTTCCTTCAGCATCGACCACGACACCCGACGTTGCACCCGTTGCTGCGCACCAACACCCGCATGCCCTCGCGCCACCCCTTTGAGCGCCTGCTTGATCCAAGAATGACATGTATCAACTTCCATCGCATACGACAAGCGGTGAAATAAATTAACACCAGACAAATGACCAGCTATCGTCGTCTGCCTCAAGCCCAACACTGTGAACGCGTATGCCACGTACTCCAACAATTGCGAAACA